TCGGCGGACACCCCCCTCCCCGCGCCCCGCGGCGCCGGCCCGGCCGCCTTGGCGCGCGCTCAGTGGAAAAACCCCGCGTTTGGGGCCGGGACCGGCGCCTCTGCCTCGCGAAGAGCCCTATTTACCCCCCCCCCCCGCCCCGAGGCTTAGAGGGGGCCGGTGGCACCGAGCCGCCTGCGCCGCTGAGACGGAGCTGAGAAAGGGACTCTGCCCCGCGCGCCGAGCCCGGGGCGGGCCCGGGGCTCCGAGGACTGGCGGGCAGGACAGCCTGCAGGTGAGATAATGCTCTGAGGGACCTGGCGTCCGCGGCTCAGTGCCTGCATAGGGGCTTGTGTTTTATGGGACCACGATTTCCAGCTTTTTCCGAATCTCGTAGGCACCTGTTTGCCTCCCTTCCCCAAAGGTTGCAAACTCCAGGCATACTTGGAAAGAACAGCCCATGTGTACATTTTAAAACACGGAGCTGAAGTCTAGGAATGAAAAGACGATCTAAGCACCATGCTCGGGGTTGTCGCAGGGACCGGAAGGGGAAGGAGGTGGGAAAGATGGGAAAGGCCCCGCCGGACCAGAGCTGTGCGGAGGCAGCACACCCCAGTCCAAAGCCAGACTGGGCGGCCCGCTGACTCTGAGCTGCTTCCTTCCCACACCTTGCGCCTTCCGCAGCCCGTTATGGAGACCTCAGTTTAGGGGTTTGTGTGTGTGTGTGTGTGTGTGTGTTTAAATTTTATTTAAATGTTTTTTTCTTTTGAGCTTGACAGATAAAAACAAAACAAAAAGAATAATTACTTAGGGTTTATTTTGAAAAGCATTGTCCCCAAGCCAGCTTGTCTATGTCTGGGTGCTCCTGCTCTGGCCCAGCCTTGGAGACTGAGAATTGGGATTCAAAATGTGAACCCCAACACAACTCCTTGAAACTTACCTGGTCTTGGAACTTGGTACTTACCTGCATATCGTATACAAACAGCATAATAGGAACAATTACTGACCAATCTAGAAACGAGTAAGAATTAAACCTCACATTTTTGTCACTCTTTTTAAGGTGGCTTGCAAAGCACTGTATTTTGTCCTTTGATTCTCACAACTCTGTGAAAGGTAATCCGGGAATTCTTCCGGTTTTATTGATGCAAAAAAAAAGAGTGCCTTGTCCACGTTCTTACCGCTGGTAGGAATTTGAATTCGCCTTTATTATTGGTCCAGCCCTCCCCAGATCGCCCTCCTGTGTAAGGCATACCACTTAGTTCAGGTGTTCTGCATTGCCTCTGCGCACAAAGATGCTTGAATCACTGAGATGGAGCTTGGGAAGCTTGGTGAGGAAGGGTGCTGGGCTCCGTCGGTGTCCCTGCCAAGGTACTTCCTTCTGTGACGTGTTGAGCAGAGAGCCCTGAAGCCTCCCTGTCGAGCTGGTGTGGCAAGAACTGCCTTTGGCACTGACGGGACCAGCCTCACCTCTGAGCTCAGTGGCCTCTGGCACAGGGAGATTACATCGAGCGGTGCTCTCTGCCCTCCTTGGTGCTGTTGGCGGGCGAGGCAGTGCTGGCAGGCCGCAGGGGGAGCAGCAAGAATGTGCCCTGTGGCTCAGGCAGTTAGGTCAGAGGGCCCCAGACAAGCCAGGGTTCCCTCCAGACCCAGGCCGCCCACACAGGAGGCCGGTGTGCCGTGGCACAGCTGGGGTAACAGAGCTGGAGAGGGGGTTCAGTGTCCGTGCTCTTCAGATGGCTGACCCTCAGGGGAAGGAGTGAATCCGAGCCCAGCGAAGAGAAAAATAACGTGGCCTTACAATTCGGAAGCACTTTACTGCATCTCACATGGTTTTGCATATATTCTTCCTGGCAACCCTTCAGAGTGCCCTTGTTTTTAAGGAGACACCGAGGTTCAGAGGGACAAGTGGCCTCTCCGAGTCAGAGTGAGAACCCCGGGTTTTGTCCTGAAACGCAATGTCTTACGGTATCACCCTCGCCTTTCCATCCGCGCCCATGCAACTTGGTAGACGAGGTGCTCCAAGCCCAGTCAGGAGACTGCAAGGGAGGGGCAGAATGGCCAGATATTTGGGAGGCAGCAGGGATCTAGCTTCAGGATCATTGTTCAGAGGAAAGCCTCTCCCAGCCCCACGTTCCTCCCTCACCCAGGGCGGCGTCTGTTTCCCAGCAGCCTGTCGCCCTTTGCTCTGCTTTTAGCATCTGCTCAGAAATTTCTGAATCTGGCATCTGAAAGGCAGTCTGGGCCAGAGCTGGGCAGCTCGTTGCAAGTAGCTAGTTCTATGATACTTGATGACAAGGGTGGGTGGGATCAGAGTTCCTAGTGGTCCTGCGGTCCCGGGTGCCCGTGCCACCAGGCTGCTTAACTGGCATTTCCAGTATCGGCAGGACCTTGTTACAAGCGCTTCCGCATTGTCATGGCTTCTCAGCTATAACCCCTATGAAAACGTTTGGCTTTGGAGCATAAGCTACTTGCAAAGCACTAAACTTGGGAAGGGCTGGTGCTGTCAGATTCCCAGGCCCCTTTCCAAGTCCTGACCATGGTCCCTTCCCTCCCCCCATTCCCCACACACTCTGTTCTAGCCTCTGCGGGAGTGTCCACTGCACAATAAATAGTCATGGACTGGGAGTTGGGAATCCCGGCTCATTCACTGAATAGCCTCCCCCATGTGACCTTGGACTAGCTATCCCTTCTCTGTGCCTTGGTTTCCTTATTTACTCAGTGAGGGAAGGGCTGGATCAGAGCCCTGAGGAGAGGGAAGGGGAGCCCAGGAGAGCAGAGGGAGCTGAAGCATCCTCTCCAGACTTGTTCCCTGAGGGCCTGGGGCGAGGCGGCCCACGTGCACCCTTAGCTCCCCTTGTTTCCTCGGCACCCCTTGGCACCCCTTCTTCCTCCGGCCCTGGCTCTGCCTCAAGCCAGCTCATTCTGCGGAGGGAGGATTCCCTGGGTGGGGCTGCACTGGGCAGGTGTCCCCTCTGTATTTGGAATATGATGCTGTCTCTACTTGTTGCAGGCATGAATTAATCCACCCAGTGATGGTACTTTGTTTTATTAAGACTTGATCAGTTCCTGCCCGGAGACGGGTCCTTGAACAGGCAGCAGTCAGGGCTGGATGAGGGGGTGGGGGTGGAGAAGATGGGAGGGTGGAGGGTGGAGGGAGCGGGGCGAGAGCAGGGATTGGGAATGCACACCCAGCAGCAGAATAGCACAGTGTCCATAGATTTCTGGCCGTCAGATCCCAGGAATTGCAAGCATGCGTTACTTAAGTGTCTTTGGATGTCGGAACTGAGATAGCCTCATAGATTTTCTACTTCCTTCCTCTGTGTATACAGATGAGACCCAGGCCCAGAGTGCCTTCAGAGCTTATGTCGATTGCCCTGCAGTGAGTAGCAGAGCTAGGACCCAACCTAAGGCTACCTTCACCCAGGCAGGAGTGTGTTCTTTAAGGCCACGCCTGCGCAGTTACCTTCAGTACTGAGCTGAAATTGGGTGGCTACAAGTCAGTTCCAACCCTGCCTCACTAGCGTCTAAAGGGTAAAGTTCAGATCATTTTGTTAGACATTTAATGCCCACCAGTTACCAGGATTCGTGTTAAGTTCTGGAGATGTAGGAATGAAGAAGTGGCCCCTGCCCTCGTATTGATCCACTATTCTCCGTAGACAGACATGTAAAGAGCGCGAGTACACAAAGTCCATTTGCCTGTGCAATGTGCAAAGATACCTGTGTGTTTGCATATGCACGCACGCTATATAATCAGAGGCGAGGGAGCAGTCAGCTGCCAGGGCTTTCCGGAGCGGCTGTGGAGAGAAAGTGGAATTTGTTCTGGGCCTCTACCTCGTTGGCATGGATGGGAGGGTATCCTGGGTAAAAGAAGTGACAGGAGGAACAGTGGAGCCTGACAGCATGCTCTAGTCCTTGCACTTAGAGGTCTGGCGAGGGTGGGAAGTGGCAGGGCTGAGGCAGAGGGGTGGGCTGCCCTAAGCTGAGGAGGGCTCTGACCGCCTGCTGAGGCCATTGTGAGTCCAGACCCAGGGGAAGGCGCTCAGGCCGCCATTCCGCTCGCTCTGGCTCCAGCGTGGAGAACAAGCTGTGGAGGACCCGGCTGGAGCCAGGCCAGGCCCAGTGGTGTGGTTCCTGAAACTGGCCAGGCACAAAGTGGCAGGGGCCAGGGCCTGGACAGAGGAGCAGGTCTCGGGGTCAGGAAGAGCATGCATAGCAAACACATTTTCCTGACCGAGTGGGTGTGGGCATCGAGGGAGAAAGAAGGGTCAAGTGTGACCGTCCGTTTCTGGCTTGAGCGGTTGGCTGGATGCTGTGTCCTTCAGTAAGCTGGGGAACTCCGAGAGAGAAACTGATAGTGGGGGTCACTCGCGGAGGTACTGCTGCAGAGATAACCTGCAGAGCAGCCGAGGGGAGCTGAGTCAGGAACAGCGGGAGAACTGGAAGTCAGTGCCAAGGTGGTGGGGGAAGTGCTGGCAGTTGGTGAGGTCGCCCAGGAAGGGAGGAGGGTTCAGAGGAGTCACGTAAGTGGCAGGAAAAGAAGGGATGGCGAAGGAGCTAAATAAGAGACAGCAGGTGAGGGGCCTCCGAGGTGCCAGCGACTTCCTGGGTGTGGGAAGGAACGGGTTTGGGTGAGTGCCGGAGGAAGGAGGCCTTCCTTTGATCTTGGTGAGTGGGCCTCACGAACTGCGTTAAGGGCTCCGCTTCGTTGGACGCACCGGTTAGCAGGCAGAGCCGCCGGCACTTGGACAAATGTTATAATCTGCATGACTGCAAATGACTCAAACTTTGCTCAGCTTTCTGAAGGGCTCTGGGGGCCTCGCCAGCTTTCTGGAAATTGACTATTGGCAGCTGCAGGCGCTCCAGGGTTTCTGGGTGGCCTGGTCCTGCCCGTGGAATGAGGGAGCTCCGGGCCATAGGCAGGACTCGGGAGCTCCGCCCCCAGCCCTCCCCTGCTGCCTGCTGTGCCTGCTCACCGGTGAGCCTCTGAGCTGTCCGCAGAAGCAGGAGTGTGGACGCTGTGAATGGTGAGTGCCTTGTCCCCAGGTTTGAACTGTCCAGGGTTGGGCATCGGGGACCATGTGTGGGGGAGGGAAGGTACCTTGGGACGCTCTCGGCTGCAGCCAAGAAGCGCTGCAAATTGAAATGGGCAGGAGGGTAGAATTATGAGGAACCAAGAGTGTGCAGACTCCCGAGTGAGCTGTTTTGGGTAGTCACGGGATGTTCCTGGGGTGCTGCAGGATCCTTAGCATTCACCTGACCAGCCCCTCGTTTTGGAGTTGGGGGAATGAGGCTGGGTGGGGGGTGAGAGGGCTGCGGTGCTGGAATCAGCCCAGCCTGGCCGAGGGGGCCTCGCCGGGTCTCCTCCCCCCGTACCAGGCTCTTCCAGACCGGAGCTGCCACTCGGAGCTGCCACAGCTGGTGTTGGTTTGTGGTCTTATCGTGCGTCACCTTCTTGTGTGGGAGAGGACAGATCAGATAAGCCCCAGCGTGGAGCACTGGATACTGTAGCTGCGGCAGGTGGGGGCCGGTTCTTCTGTAAACAACCTTGCTATTATCTCTCAGCGAAACTGACCCCTTCCTTTAGGGATGGGGCTGGAAAGGGAGGACAGAGAAGGGACATCTGTCACATGGTAAATTTCCTTTAGCCAAACATGGTTTGACTGTCTTTGATGACTGAAAAAATAAGTTGATCTTTCTAAATTCTCTTTAAGACAAAGGGGAAGGTACCCCTTGACCTCCAGGAACCCCTAAGTAAAGGTGTGGGAGGCAAAGTGTGACAGTAGAAAGACTTCCAGCTTTGGGGTCCCAGAGGTCTGGGTCCAGGGTACAGCCTGCTGCCTGCTGGCTGTGTGGCACCCGAGAGGGTATGAACGTCTCTAGCTCGGTGCTGTCAGCTACAACACAGAGCCAGGTCTGCATCAGGAGGCAGTTGAGGGAATGAAATCAGGCCATGCATGTCCGGGGGCACCAAATAAATGCTGGCCCTGTGAGTAGCCTTGGAGACCCATGTGAACATGCATTGTTCGATTTAGCTATGAAGGCTTCTCCCTACCTCCCTCTCCCCTTTTTTTGTCCATGATTCAGGCTCAGAGTCAGCTCTTGCTGTGCAACAAGTTGCAGTGGTGCATGCTCTGACACAGGCCAGGATGGAAATTGCTTTGTAGTTCACGGGGCTTTGGCTGAGGGGCTGGACCTACATACTTCCTAGATGTTTCCGAAGTCAGTTTTCACTGCTTCCACTGGCAGAAGAACCAGCGGCCAGAGGCCCCAGGGAGCATCTGAGGCCTGACTCTCACCTCTGGTGCCAGCAAGGTGTTCACTAACTGGCCCTACAGGCTGAGGCTGAGGGTCCACCCCCTGTTCCTGCTTTCCAGATCAGCCAGAGGAGGTGATGGGGGGTGCACATTGCTTCTGGTGGTGCTGGAGCCCACATCCTGTACTGCACCTCCTGAACTTGAGGTAGAGTTGGGGGCCTTTGGGTCATTCTCAGAGTGCCTTCAGTGCTGACATTCACCCCCAGCTAGCCTGCTGCTCCCCAGGTTTATTCAGCCCAGGCTTGACTGGCTCTTCCATCCTGCCCCCGGGTCCTACATCCGCTCCAAAGACACTCTGGGTGCTTCTGTGGCTGCCTGCGCTGACATAGCCTGTGCTCACCCCTTTCCCCAGCTGCCTTGCTCCTCCTCCAGAATTTCTGTTACCTGTGCCCTAGGCCTGTTTCCTTGAGGGCTATGTGTCATTTAGTTTTATTTGAAAAGAAATTCTGAGTCTGGTTGAGTCTGATCCCTTGTGCTCTTGTGCAAATACATGATTGTTGATGGAGCCTGTGCCTCTGAGAAGAGCTGTGGTGTGCAGCGAGGGTGTGGAGCTGACCGCAAGGGTCACTGGCTTCCTGAAGGGCACTAATGTGTTCCAGGAATGGAAGCAGGACCTTTTGTAGGGCAGATATAAGCTGGCCTTTGAGTCCCGGGGCAGAAATGTTATCAGCTCTGTGATCAGAGGCCACGCCGTGTGCTTCTGAATCATACACACATGTCAGAGATCCAGGGACATTTCCAAGTGTGTAAACATGCAGCGATTGTTCCAGGCGCTGGGGGACCTCTTGTTTACAGCAGGCAGGTGAGAGCGATGGTTTTCCTGCTCATTGTTTTCTGGACTGTAATCCAGTGATGTGTGACTGCTACGTAGGAGAATTGAAAGCCAGCCTAAGAACTTTGGGCTGGCTTCCTGCTTGGCCAAGAACTTTGGTCTTCCATAAGTCATCATCTTCATCACTCAGTTCTACTGGACTCATTTCAGCGCACACAATGGAGAGCCCACTGTATACCACACAAGTATGTGGTGGCACAGGAGGTTCTGAGGTAAACTGAGGAACAGACCCGTCTCAATCTTGTGTCGAACACATGAGATGGATCATGAGTGCAGTATGGGCACAGTACCAAGGTGGGCACCTCTTGGGCTGGGAGTGGGGGTAGGCAGAGCATCCAGGGAGCTTGGAGAAGTGTTTTGAGTCTTGAAGGATAGAAGAAACAGGTTAGGACATTCCAGGCAGAGGTATGATGCCTTCCAGCATTGACTCTCACTGTCACCATGGCTGCCCTCCCACAGTGAGCTGAGGGAACAGTCTGCCCTTATGGCCAGCCAAGCACTAGATCCCGGCTGCTTTGCTCCAAGACAATGCTTCTGAGTCTCCATGTGCATGTGAATTGCCCGATCTGATTACAATGCAGGGTGTGATTCCTTCGTTCTGAGGCCAGCTGCAGATTCTGCGTTCCCCAGTTCCCCACCGTGCCAGTGCTGACCCAGGATCCACATGCTGAGGACTGAGGTTTTAAGAAACCTCTCCCAGCTGAGGGCCCCCCCCCCCCATTGGAGATACCATAGTGGCATCCCTTTCCCCAACACACACACACACACACACACACACACAGGCGCGTGCGCGCGCGCCGGCCTCTCCCTTTTCCCCCCCTCTCCCCTAATATAACCAGATGTCAAATTCTTCTTTCTTAAATGCTGCTTTCATTTGGTCATTCCCACCCCCACCTAAAAATTCCTTTTTATTTCTTAATTTAAATCTGAGCTCCCCAGGCTGACCTAAACTCTAGTCCGACCTACCTTTCTTTTCCCCAAAACAGCACGACCAAGTTACTCCCAGCCCCACTTCCTGGCCCTGGCGGGTCCCTCGCTGCCCCTCCCTTGGCTCCAGTGGTATGCAGAGTTCTGGGCATGTGTTTAATCCTTTGGAGAAATCCTCTCTCCAGCCAAATCCAGCAGGGAGAGCTGCCTTAGATTAGGAGGGCCTTATACACACACACACACACACACACACACACACACACACACACCAGGTCTATACCTGCTAATCCCAGCACAATGAGTTATGCTGATATTCAGGGAAGAAGGCTTCAGTGTAAGTCTGGTCCATAGGATGGCGAGAGGGCCAATAGAAACATAGGTTCTGTATGTAGTTGTCATTTGAAAAAAGACTGGATGGGTACCTGCTGCTGCTTCAGGGGTGGGCTGCTTCCAGGAGCTTGCACCCGTCAGCACAAGGCTCCCCACCTGAAGGAGCCCTGTGGAGGCACTGGTGCACGAGCTCAGAACAAGGCTGGACGGCTCTGCAGGCCCCGCCGGAGCTCCCGCTCAATGGCAAACCCCGCCCGGTGCAGACAGCGCTTGCCCAGGCCCTCTGCAGCAGACAGCAGCGCTGTGCTCTTCCACGTGCCCGCTCTCTCTGCTCTGCCCCCATTCATTCCACAGGTGTCTGTGCATTCTGCTCATGGGAAAACTGTCAGATTGGATAACTGGTGTCTAATAGTGGTCATCTCTCTTAAACTGCCAGTGAAAAGGTGGTGGGTGCTCTGAAGATCTCTGTGTTCTGGTCGACGATGGTTTTGTGCATTGCTTCGTTTTTGGTTTGGTTGTGTCTTCATCATGAGCCTGTTTTATCTGCATAATGAGTAAAAGGTAAAGCTGTTCTCAGATGGGAGAAATGTACCAAGATTGCCTGCCTACCGCAAGGGAGGCCCTGCTTGGAACTGTCTGGGCAGGATGGATAGGACACGGTCTCTTTCTGAGGGATTCTCAGAGGGAGAAGGATAGGGTTCCGAGACAGTGTGTGCGGTGAGATGAGGTGTGTGTCCTCTGATCACTGAAGAGAAGGCTGCCCTCAGGGGAATGATAGCCAAGACTCCTGGACTGTGAGGGAAAGGGAGGCGTTGACTGGGGGAGAGAAGGCGCAGCGCGGATGGGCAGCACAGAGCTGGAGGGAGGCCTGGGCCTGGGCGAGGGAACTCGGGAGGAGCGTCTGAGGGGGCTGCCGTTTCTCTCAGCGCTCCTGACTCACGGGTGAGCTCCTCGGGCAGGAACCTCCGTGTGTCGGTTGCATCCAGCTCTTGGGGTGGCACGTGCTCAGCAGCCTGGCCCCATCCCATCCCTGCTGCCGCGGCTCCCCTGCACTTTGCCCCTGGCCACCTGGTGGCTGCCGGCTGAGCCTGGCAATTTGACAGAACACATCCCCGCCGTCTTGTGAGAGCGGTAACGTCATCTTCCTTCCTCTCAATCTCCAGAAATGTCTTTCCTCCAGGATCCAAGCTTCTTCACCGTGGGGATGTGGTCCATTGGCGCGGGGGCCCTGGGGGCTGCTGCCCTGGCACTGCTCCTGGCCAACACAGACATGTTTCTGTCCAAGCCCCAGCGAGCCAGCCTGGAGTATCTGGAGGAAATAGACCTGAAGACTCTGGAGAAGGGTAAGCGGTGACCCCTCTGCTCCCAGTACTTTTCCAAGGCACTGGGATGCAGGCTTATTTCTTCTTTGTAAAATAACTTTTTTTTTTAATTGGAAAGATAATATAACAACGTTAGGGAACATTTAATAGCTTTTTAAATGGCTAATAATTCCATTGCCTTAATGATACTTGTTTTTATTTCTGCACATTTTTTGCATGTTTACTTACATATTACTACATATTTGTGATCAGGGTGTACATGCTGTTTTATAGTTTAGGGTTTTCTTACCAAATAATTTTTCACTTTCTATTGCTGACTCTCTAACTATAATGATAATTGCTCCATAACATTTAGTAATGTTGTACCACTGATTACTAAACCAGCCGCTACAAAATGCGAGCTGAGGAATCTGGGCTCCTGGATCTTCACAAAATAGGAGCTCCCCAGCCAAATACATTTGAGAAACACTGTATCCAATTCTGAGTTCTGAGGCTCAGCAGGGCTTTGCTCATTGGAAGGAGGTGCCTGCACTGTTGCTGGCACAGGCATGCCAGCCCTCACCTGTGGTGCGGCTGTGCCCACAGGGGAGCCCAGGGTCGCACTTTTAGAACGGACCTGCCTGTCTCCCTGCAGTCCCGGTGGACATCTGGGGCCACACGTTTGTATGTGGCAGCTCAGTTGCCTCCCTGCGCTCTGAGCTTGTGTGTCTGGAGCTCGGGAATTTTAGTCATGCCAACAGTGTGGGTAGAGCAGGTATGAAAGTTTGGTGAAAGTTGGGGTCACTGACTGGGCGGTCTCCAGGTTGGCCCCTCAAAGGGAGGCCATGGTCATCTGCTCAGTAAGCGAGGAACCCTGTCAGAGGAAGGCAGGAACTGTGACTGCTGTTCGTGATGTAGATGGTCTTTCTCAGGGATCAAGGAGTCCTGCTTTGTTCATCCCAGGGATTCCCAGTCTCCTCCTCCTCTCTCTCTTTTTATACAAAACCCCACAGGGATGTGGATTTCTTTAAGAAATGTTAAAATAGTAAGGGTTCACACGTATTGACCCATCTGTAACTATTATTATACTCGAGGCCCGTTGCACGATACTCATGCAAGAATAGGCCTGCCTTCCCTGGCTTCACTCCCAGCCGCCCGGGTGCCTGCACGACCCACTCCCGCCAGGATCCGGAAAGTCCCCGCTCCCCCGCTCATCATATTCCCCCCTCCCCCCGGCGGCCTGGGAGCCAGCAAGTCCCTGCTCCTGGGCCACCTGAGGCAGCAGGTCCTCGCTTCTGTCTGGAGCACCACTCCAGTAGCTCCCTCCGCAGCCATCCTTCCCCTCAAGCAGGCTTCACACCATTCCACACCTGCATATGCAAATTAACCTCCGTCTTTGTTTAGTTAATTTCATACTCATTCTGATTGGCTGTGGGCGTAGCCGAATGATGGTTAATTTGCATGTTTCTCTTTTATTAGGTAAGATACTGTGGTGAGCACTTACATAGCCATCTGTTAACACTCCCTTCAGCCCCGTGCTAGACATCTGCTTTTATGACAGGAAACGGGGGTTCAGGGGGAGACCCAGCATGGCCAAAGTCTCATGGCTGGATACAGATTAGGTCTGGCCCCAGAGCCTGGCTTGAGCTTCACCACTTTACTGCCCCAGCTACCCCCAGGGGTTTCCTTGTTAGGTATCTTTTACCCTCCCTGTTGATAATATTGTGGGGAAATAAATTTAAAATTTCTGATTTAATCCCTTTGGATACTTTTTTAAGAGATGGGATTTGCTTAACTGCCACTGTTCCATAAATGTTTCGGTTTGGGATGTTCAAGTTTGCAAATAATTTTTTATGGAGGAAGGGCGTTTGGAGTATATAGTGGGATCTTACACTGTGTGAATTTTCCTCTGAGGATGACTGTTCCCCATCTGTGCTTCCTGTTTGCTTTCCCACATGTGAAACGCAGATCCAGGCCCTCTGCGAGGCCTGGTACCACTGATGATCGGCTGAGCTCTAGGGCGGGTGGGCGGGGCTGGGCAGAGAGCATGCTGGACTCTTCTTTTCCCCAGAACCAAGGACGTTCAAAGCAAAGGAGCTCTGGGAGAAGAAGGGCGCTGTGATCATGGCTGTGCGGAGGCCAGGCTGCTTCCTCTGTCGAGAGGTGAGTGCGTATGGAGATCTGTCCGAGAAGAGGACCCCAGAGGATGGGGCCAGGCACTCCAGCCGGGACCCAGGACCTGCAGGCCCACTTTGGCCTTTGATTAGCACTGGTCCTTCTTTTGTCATTTGCTCTGGGATTTCTTAAGACTAATTCTCTGTTTCTGCTCATTTAAGCACTCACCGTATCCTGGGGTTAGCAGCACACTTGACTGTCCTTTGTGAATCCCAAGCCCTATCATTCTCGCACTGTCTGAGTCCTGGACTACCTTCCTGTTGCATCAAGGATGGGGACCAAGCCCAATTCCGAGTTCTGAGGCTCAGCAGGGCTTTGCTCATTGGAAGGAGGTGCCTGCACTGTTGCTGGCACAGGCATACCGGCCCTCACCTGTGGGGCGGCTGTGCCCACGGGGGAGCCCAGGGTCGCATTTTTAGAACGGACCTGCCTATCTCCCGGTGGACAGCTGGGGCCACATGTTTGCATGTGGCAGCTCTGTTGCCTCCCTGCGCTCTCAGCTGTGGGTCTGGAGCTCGGGGATTTCAGGCATGCCGATAGTGTGGGTAGAGCTGGCATGAAAGTTTGGTGAAAGTTGAGGTCACTGACTGGGCAGTCTTCCAGGTTGGCCCCTCAAAGGGAGGCCAACATCATCTGCTCAGTAAGCAAGGAGGCCTGTCAGAGGATGGCAGGGCCCAGCCTTGTCGCTTTACAGATGGGCAAGTCCAGGGCCAGGCTCGTTTGGTCAGTGGGTGGCAGAAGACCCAGGACTGAGAACCGGGCCCTGCCTGGGGAGAGCTGGGAGTGACAGCGCTCCTGCGCTTGAGACAGCTTTGCTTCTCCGCTGGCGTGGCCGAGTCCACACTGCCCTCCTCCTCCTCTGGCTGTGCTCCCTGGCCCTCAGGCGTTCCTCCGCCTGGCCCATCTGTCCCTGCTTGTGTGGTCGGGCTGGCAGAGAAGCTGCTGATGGTGGGACATTGTGTGCTCGGCTGCACCTGCATTCAGGGCGCTGCCACACCTGACGTTCCATCCATGCCCCACCACATCCCTGGAAAATACAGCCGGTTGTCACTGTTCTCGTTTTGTAGAAGAGGAAATTGAGGTACTGGGGCTGTGGCAAAGTCACACCGCTGAGGGGAGGTATGTTAGCTTCCTATTGCTGCTTGCACAAATTATCACAAACTCAGGGTTTAAACATTACACATTTATTATCACAGTTAGAGGTCACAATTCCGAGGCAGGTCCCATGGAGCTACAATCCAGGTTTCAGCGGGTCTGCACTTCTCCCGGGGGATGTGAGAGGGAGACGGCTTCCGCCCTCCGACAGCTCCCAGGGCCACTTGCAGTCCTGGCTCGTGACCCCTCTCTCCATTTTTAATGCCAGCTGTGGCTGGGTGAGTTTCTTACACACGTGACGGTGACACAGACTCTTCTGCTTTCCTTGCTCAATTTTAAGGACCCTGTGATTCCACATGGGAACCACTTGGGTAATGCAGGATAGTCTCCTGTAAGGTCAGCTGATGGGCAGCACAGATGTCACCGGCTGCCGTACTTCCCCCTGGCCTTGTAACAACACACATTCACAGGCTCCTGGGATCAACACACATTCACAGGCTCCTGGGACCTCAGAGGTCCTCCCGTAGTTCACACTCAGAGTTTTTGATTCCACATAGCAGCACGAGGCCTGCTGTGACTGGATTGCTCACGGCAGGTTAAACCCAGAAGGTTGCAGCCTGCTTCCTGTGCACTGGTCTCTGCCCCAGCAAAGCATCACGTGGGAACTTGTGTTTCTGAAAGGACAGTCCGATGGCAGCCTGGGCTATTCTGAGTGGCCTGGGGAGCAGGTCCGTGACTGTCCATTCATAGCTCTGTACAGGGTTACACCAGAGGAGAGAGCCCAGGAAAAGGGAGTGAAACGTTTCCTGTCACACACATCGGGCCTGTGGCCTCTCTGCTCTGGGGCAAAGCTGGCCAGCACCGAAGCCCGTAAGCACTGGAATGATTTCTGCTTCGTTGGCTGTGCTGTTGCTGTTGTTCTAGAAAACAAAGGAAAAATTAAACATAGTGCCGCTGTACTCCAGTGTGTTATAGGGGAGGCGAGTGAGCTGCATTTGGGAGGGTTTCATGCTGTTTCTTTAATTCTGACACTGAATGTGAGAAAGGAATTTGTTCTTCGCTTCAAAGCCTTCCCGTGACACAGGCCGTTCTTAGTCACCCAGGCGGTTCCTGGGAGTCCAGGATGCTGTGTTTCTCAGCTCAGCTGCGTTGTCTGTGTCCACCTTCGCCTTCGGCTCTTCCCACCTGGCCCCTGGTCCCTTCTGTGCCCCAGGCCACGTGCTCGGCTCTGAGAGGGACAGGAAATGGAGACCCAGTTTCTAGGCATGAGGCACATGGAGTGAGGAGCCAGTGCTCAGCTTAGCGGTAACAGGCAGACTCGGTACGGGAGTGGCCCAGCAGGAAGGATGGGATCTGCCCAGAGGATCGGGCCTTCCCCCCGGGCCGGCGGGCAGGGGCAGTGTTAGAACAGGGCTCCCTTTCTGCAGGGTAGGAGCTGAGCTGCAGAAAGGAGGCAGGTTATTGCCAAGAGGGGAAGCCAGCTGAGCCGAAGTGTGGAGGCAGCTATCCCAGGCCTGCTCTTTGGTCCAATAGACCCTTGTGCTATTTTGGTGTAGTGCAGGGGAGGGGCTAGAAGATGAGTTAGGAGAGAAGCATCATAGCTATGAGTAAATGACCATGTTTGGCTGCAGTCTCTTAGATTTGGATGCTCCCTGAGGTTAGGACATCCATCACAGGAGCCTGCCCCGCCCTCCCCACCAGGCAGAAGACAAGAGGCCTCGTGCCCATGAGACAGTGTCTTGCGGGGCGGCACAGGCCTTAATTGTTTCTGGTCTTCTGTTGTCTTTGTTCTTCCGCTTTCAGGGCCAGCCGTGCTCTGGGCTGGAGGGAAGTGGGCGTTGGCTGGCCACAGAGCCTTGACCTTTGCTCTTCTCTGCAGGAGGCCGCGGACCTGTCCTCCCTGAAGCCCAAGTTGGATGAGCTGGGCGTGCCCCTCTACGCAGTGGTGAAGGAGCAGGTCAAGACTGAGGTGAAGGACTTCCAGCCTTATTTCAAAGGAGAAATCTTCCTGGATGAAAAGGTGTGTCCCCGAGCCTGTGGCAGACAGCAGGGGACTGTGCTCAGGAGCGGAGAGCTCGGTACCAGAGGGTGTGTGGCCTGGAGCTGCAGGCCGGGCTGGGCGCCCTGACAGCTGCCCTGAACTTGCAGGGCCTTCCCAGCCTCTGAGCTGAGCCTGATCGGACACTGAGAAGCGGTCCCTCCCGCGTGTTCACTGAGCACGTCCTGGATTGTCACCTGGGAAAGGTTGCCCAGGAAGTGGCTGAAACTCCACTGGTTCTCCCCACCCCACAGGTGGGGGCCCAGCACAAGCTTCTGTTCCTTAATTCATTGCAGTCATATTTGTTTCCCCTCCGCCTTCCCCTCTGTGAATGTGGGGCTGAGTCACCCCTCAGGCCCAGGAGCCCTGTAGTCTCTACAGTAGGCAAGAGTCAGGGCTGACCGCTGTGGGCCAGATCCTCGCAGCCAGTGCTCCTGGTGTGTGTGTGGGGGGGGGGGGGGAGACACCGAACCAGCAGGCTCTGAGTCTGAAAGCCTGCGCCCTGCTGGGAGCCTGTGGGCCCTGGGGAAGGCGGGCAGCCAGGTACTCAGAGGGTTTGTCCTCGCTGCTACAGAAGAAGTTCTACGGCCCCCAGAGGCGGAAGATGATGTTCATGGGGTTCGTCCGGCTGGGCGTCTGGAGCAACTTCTTCCGGGCCCGGAGCGGAGGCTTCTCTGGAAACCTGGAGGGCGAAGGCTTCATCCTTGGGGGCGTCTTCGTGGTGGGATCAGGAAAGCAGGTAACGCCTGGGTCTGTGGGTGTCGGGGTCTGTGAGCCTGAGGCCTGATGGGGGCGACTTTCCCTCCTCAGCCTCCCAGAAAGCCGGGCCATGGGGAAGGGGGAGGGGGAGGGGAAGGAGAAGGGGAAGGAGAAGGGAGAGGAATTGCCGTTGATCACAGATCTCACTCCTCAGTTTGCAGGCGAGGGAGGACTCCGAGGTTGCACTCCGGGGCTGAGCCAGGCGTTGTGAGGCCAAGTTCTGTTTTCTGTGCCTGAACAAAAGCCTAGGTTTTCCTATGGAGAGCACACTTCTATGTGGTAGTCCCAGGTCACCAAGGTGGACAGTAGAGAAAAGTGGAGGAGAAAGGACTCAAAACAGACCTGATTAGGGGAAATAGCGAGGAGATGTGGGAAGAGACGCCTCTTCTTACTGGGGTCCTGGGGTCAGAGCCGCCCTAGGTTTCTCAGGCCCTGGCTGTGAGGATCCAGAGTAGCTCGGGGACCTCAGGGGTGTGTGGGGAGATGAGGTCTCTGTGGCCCCGGAGGGCGGCAGGTGGGTGAGTGCTGTGTCAGACCTTGGGCAGCCTTGAGCTGTGGTGGTTCCCCTTTGCCGGAGGACAGTGCCTGCAGAGGCCGGGAGGACGCAGAGCAGGGAGGGGGTGATGGGGGTGCAGGCTCAAGGGCCTGGCAGAACCTGGAGACGAGGCTTGACTTTGGCCTGGTCTCCTACACCCTTAGTATGGCATTAACTCTTGGCCGCATCTGTGAAAAGGCACCTTATCTGCATTGGTGGACCTCACAGCTAACACTGATCAGTCCCAGGACTTTTCCTGATTTGGGAGGAATAAAAGCAAGTGGGAATAGAAATCCTTCCCTTTCTAATCCCGTCTTTAAAGCTTGGTAACTGCTGCGGCTGGTCTGAATTAGAATCTGGTGTGAGTTGATGTCGGGTTTAACGTAAACCTATTTGCTGGCTTTCTGCCAGTACCAGAATGTCACGGCAATATGACTGCCACAGAGGGCCTGCCTTCTTCCCGGAGCTCAGCTCTCGTGTCTTCACAGCCAGACTGGGGCGTTAGGTGTGCTTATTCCCACCAAGGTGAGGAAAGGGGCCCGGAGACATGAACCCGGGGCAGCAGCATGCAGCTAGTAGGTGGTACAGTGGCGTCGAGACGGTCTGTCCTGCCCTCCCCTCCCCCCAGCCTCTCTTTAGCAGTGGTTCCCAGAGGCCCTTCCAGATGCCCTTGCACTTGGGCTGGCCACTTCCTCAGAGGATGGCTCAGGCCCTGCCCACCGTGGCTCTCTGGGATCCCTTCCCCACCCTCCCTCCTTCCCTTCGCCCCTGGGCAGGGCTTGGCTCACCTGCCAGCCTTCTCTTGCCTGGCAGTGACTCATGGGGTGTTCATGGGCTCCCCATTCTTGGCTGGCGTGCCCCTGGAGTTGCTAGGCGTGGTGTTTGGCTTTGTTGGTGCTCCCTGGAGCTCCTGCATCCTTCCTTCCTGCTGGAAGCGGAGGGGCTGGAAGCTGACAACTGGCCAAGCCTCGAGACTGGCCTCCAGGTTCCCTCGGAGCAGAGCTCTGTAGCCCTTCTGTGCCAGGCGCCTCAGTGGGGTTTCCTTTGTAATCACCTTTAAAGCATAATTACTTTAGAGAAGGAATGTGTTTTCCACATAAACAATTTGAAAATGAAATGGCATAAGGTAGGGAGAGCGTCCTTTATGTTCAGCCTCCACCGAAAACCAGCTGGCACAGAGCGGAGTGGAGCGGCCTTTTGTTTTGTTGTTTTCAGAAGATGGTTTCTTACTAAACTAGATGTTCTTCTTCACTTAACGATGGATCATGAGCATTCTCCGTGTCGTGTATGCCCCTCCGCGGCACTGCAGTGTCCATCCTGCTTTGCTTCCCTGTATCACCTGTGTGTCGGGACTTTGCCCTTGTGAGTTTGACATACTTGGAGGAAGCTTTATAAATAACTAGAGGCCCGGTGCATGAAAATTTGTGCACTTCGGGGGGGGTCCCTCACCCCGGCCTGCCCCTTCTCACTGTCCGGGACCCTCAGGGGATACCCCTGGGGAGCAGGCCTAAGCTGCAGCCTCCTCCCTCTGTGGGAGGCGACCAAGCCCATCAGGGAAAGGCTCTGCCCCCATCACCCCGCTGCTGCTTCCACTGTCGGCTGCTGCAGCCATGAGGCCTGAGCCTGGGGCCTCGCAGACGCTGTGGTTTTGTCCAGATAGATGTCCACTCTAATTAGCATATTACCCTTTTATTAGTATAGATGGCACACCGAGCACGTTTACAACTGTTTACTTTTTAAATTTAAGATGAGTTCCCAGATGTCATGGGTCAAAAAACGGTTAACAGCCGAGACCGGTTTGGCTCAATGGATAGAGCGTCGGCTTGGGGACTGAAAGGTCCCTGGTTCGATTCCGGTCAACGGCATGTACCTTGGTTGCGAGCGTATCCCCAGTAGGGGGTGTGCAAGAGGCAGCTGATCGATGACACTCTCTCATCGATGTTTCTAACTCTCTATCTCTCTCCCTTCCTCTCTGTACAAAAATCAATAACATATATTTTAAAAACAAACAAACAAACAAAAAAAACGGTTAACAAGGATGCCTTGATTCTGACCTCAAACATTATTTTATCTTTCTTACCACTTCAGGGTACTGAGGGTTACCCTGTATTTTAATGCATTTTCCATCCCAGCATCAGAGGTGAGGGCCCATTTCTTAGGAAAACTTAAGTGAAGAGAGGGCCACTTTTCAGATGGCCATTCAGCACCGCCAGGGGCTGACCTCTGACCTCTGAGCTCCCATACTTCGGGCTCATTCAGTCCTCTGTCCTGGCACATCCTTTTACCTCACCTCTCCCTGTGGACATCCTGGTTACTCTCCTGCTTTACCACCTGGGAAGTCTTCCCGGAGCGCTGGATGAGATGTGATCACCCATGACTTCTCACTCCCAGAGGCTGCAGTACAATCCAGACATTGTGTCTTGGCTGTCCCCTGACCCACCCCCAAGGACTGAATCCTCAGGGGGAAGAGCCAGCCTGATCCGGACTCTGTCCGCTGCTGCTCAAGCACAGGGCTTAGGGGACAGCTGCCGCACGGTGTCATCTCATGAACAAATGACTCGGAATGAGGACTGATGTTCCCTCTTCTTTCCTTCCAGGGCATTCTTCTCGAACACCGAGAAAAAGAATTTGGAGATAAAGTAAACCTAGCCTCTGTTCTGGAAGCTGCTAAGAAGATCAAACCACAGGCTGCAAGTTTAGCCTCAGAGGAAAAGTGACTGTGGGCTCTGCCCAGCTCAGGGATAAGAGGGGCTTACCTGCTGCACAGGAGGCCCGAGTTCCACTCGGTCACTTAGGCCATCTCCTTAGGCTAGATCACTCCTTACTTCAACACTGTGCTCTGTTTAGGCTCAGTGAGACAAAATAGCCCCCAAATAAGACTGATAAAAATCTAAGATGTGAGTGAGGGGTATTTCAGCTAAACCCTGCAAAACACGAGGCTTAAAGCTGGCTGGAGCGCCGCATTACAAACGTATATGTGTGTGAGGTGCTGTTATTGGAAATTAGTTTACTTTCGTGTCTTTAAAAACCTAGAGGAATTTGGTGATTGACTAGAAGATTGCGGATTGAAGGCTTTTGGTTGTGTGTTTTCTACAATGACTTGTTACATAAGATTAAAGTAATAACATAAAGGAATGATGTGCTCTGGATGGCTCGATAAAGGTAGATCATAAAATGAAATCTGTTGTCTTCCTTTCTAACCACAGAGGTTTGTTTTTCCAGAAGAAATGATCATCTCTGGCTTTAGTAAAATTATGCAGCAGGAATTGCCTGTGATACAAGTTTTTCTGATAAAGCCAACAATAAAAAAATTTACCATAATGATGGCTGAATTTAAATCGTCCGTGCCAAAGACGACTTAAATGTGAAAAGTCAGCCTTTCCGTGTGTGTGGGGTGAGCTGGCTGGATCAGGGCTGAGGCGGGGGGCTGGTCTGCCCTGTGGTGCGGTGGTGGCGGCAGCGGTGTGGTGTGTCAGCGGTGTGGTGTGTGCACAGGCCTGAGGGCTGGGCTCCTGAGCCTCCAGGGAACGAACGCTCTTTAGGGCTTCATCTGGGTCATATGGTGACTCATCCCCGGGAGCGGGACCCCTGGTGCCTGAAGGCCCTTGATTCTGAAACGGCTCTCTTGTAACTAAAGAAGAGTCCACCCTATGAAGATGTTGCCGCAATGGATGCATAAGGGAAATGATGTGATTGTTAGGATTTCCCTCGCTAGCTGTTTTACTCCTGAGACCTCGAGCAACGGGTCTTCCTTCTCTGACTGGAGTGGCGTTTGCAAAGAGCGGCACATCGAGCCGAGAGATGGGCTCTCGTTCCAGTTTAATTTTGAGCAAAGCTCTGGCCCTCAGCTCTCTCCTGAGAAAAGGAGCATCATCATTCCTGTCTACCACGTGGGTCTGTTTGTTGAAGTCATTGAGGGGATGATAAATATTGTAAGTCAGTGCTGCTCACATGCAGATCACCTAGGGAGCTTGATGACATGGAGACGCTAACAAAAAGCCAGACACTGTTACAAGGCAGCGGAGGCAGGTGTTCTTCAGGAATGTGTGTGTGTGTGTGTGTGTGTGTGTGTGTGTGTGTGTGTGTGTGTGTAAAAGGCCTCTATAAAGCAGCGCAGCTGGGCTCTGCGCAGAGGTGCCTGGGTTTTAAGGGAGAAAGAAAATGGGGGTGGGGGAGAGACATGCAGGGACTCAAAGTGGGAAATCACAGAAAGCAGGCTGGGGGATGCTCCATGTGATCAGGCCTCTGTGTCTGCTAACTGGCCATCCCCCCAGGCCTCTCCCCTCCCACAGAGACAGCGGTGGGGCTCCCACTGTTCTCATGATTGCATTTCAAAAGATGGCTCCCAGTCCTTGAGAAAGACACTCCTGGGAGATACAAACTTACACCTCTCAGAGACAGAGAAAGAATTGCAATGTAAGGTTTTTAAATGAATGCTCTTAAGAAAAGGGAGGTCACCAAGACCGGTTTGGCTCAATGGAAAGAGCATCGGCTTGGGGACTGAAGGGACCCGGGTTCGATTCTGGTCAAGGGCATGTACCTTAATTGCGGGCATATCCCCAGTAGGGGGTGTGCAAGAGGCAGCTGATCGATGACACTCTCTCATCAATGTTTTTAACTCTCTATCTCTCTCACTTCCTCTCTGTACAAAATCAATAAAATATATATATTTTAAAAAAAAAAAAAAAAAAAGAAAAGAGGTCAGCCGAGACCGGTTTGGCTCAATGGAGAGAGCATCGGTTTGGGGACTGATGGGACCCGGGTTCGATTCCGGTCAAGGGCATGTACCTTAGTTGCGGGCATATCCCCGGTGGGGGGTGTGCAAGAGGCAGCTGATCTATGACTCTCTCATCGATGTTTCTAACTCTCTATTCCTCTCTCTTCCTCTCTGTACAAAACCAGTAAAATATATTTAAAAAAAAAGGGAGGTCAGAGACCTACAGTCAGGTGTTTGGCCTGAATAAGCTAAGTTCTTCAGCCAGCCTAGAGCTTTCCCAGGCCGGGACTGGGGGAGAGCCGGGCCCACCCCAGGGAAACAGCCTTGGGCTGCTTTGTGAAGGCTGGTGTAGGAGGTGGGCCGAGCCATTTGTGTTTCACAGTTAAGAGTTTCTGCATTTCTAACAAGCTCCGAGGGGGGCTGCTGACGTCTACTGGTCTACTGGTCTAAGGCGTACACTTTGAGAAAGGGAATCTCAAAGACCCTACAAATCAAAGACAATGTCTGTGGGCTTTGGGCTTGAAGCTTCAGTGTGTGTGACAAGCGTTGGCAGGTTCCTTTTCTTTATCTGAAAACCCGAAATAATGCAAAATACCAGGAGAATGCAAGAGAGAGTCCTTGCTAAAAAGCTGCAGGTTCTCAATTTGGAACACAGCGGAACCACCTGGGAATGGAGGCTTACATAAATTTTGCCCAGGCCATACCCACAGGTCCATTCAATCATAATCTGGGATGAGACTCAGGCAGCTATATCTCTGAGCTCCCAGATGATTCCAGCATACAGCCAAAGGCTGAGAACCATCTTAAAAGAACTAAGTGACAAGTTTGCTATGCCAGAGCTCCCACCTCAACTTCCCCAGAACCAGGCTGCTCCCAGTAATCTCTGATGAGTTTTGGAAAACAGTCGTTAGGGGGCAAGGGTCAGGAATGGTGTGGACATGGATGTGGAGGGATCCTGGTCTGGAGCTGGACCTTTAAAACAGACTATTTGGACGGATGCAGAGGGTAAAGAAATGGGTCCTTTCAGGCAGGATCGAGGCCCTGAGCCAAGATATGGCTGGAGGGAAAGAATAGAGGTATGGATTGGAGAACAGAGAGGAGCCGGTCCACTTCGTTTATCTGATTGGCTGCCCTTTTCCCCAGTACATTGAGTCCTCAAAAGCAATGTTCTTTTCTCATGGAGGACTACTTTAAAGTTAAAGACAAACAAACACCATTTTACTGAGGGGAAAAGCAGTGCTCTGGCTACTTTATTTCTTTTTATTTTTTAATGTATTTCTTAATCAATTTTTAATTGATTTCAGAGAGGAAGGGAGAGGGAGTGAGAGAAACATCAATGATGAGATGAATCATTGATTGACTGTCTCCTGCATGTCCCACACTGGGGATCAAGCTCACAACCCAGGCATGTGCCCTGACCGGGAATCAAACCATGACCTCCTCATTCATAGGTTGATGTTCAGCCATTGAGCCACGCATGCCTGGTAATTCTCTCTCATACTTTATTTCTCTTTTGCCAGAGCCACGCATCCCTGTGGGGTGGGGGTGGAAAAGGAAGGTGAGCTGGGGGAAGAGGCTGTAAGAGGCTGTGGTAGAAGAAATCACAGGGTCCAACTGAACGCTTCTCCTCAGCCTGGGCCATGTTCCCTCATTCTGTTACCAATGTCCCATGGGACAGTAGGCAGGTGTGACTTTGTGAGTGTATGTTTGGGCGGGAGGGGGAAAGAAAAGTTGCCTTGTCTGCTTTAACCCCTCAAATTCTTTCTAGGTTTAAAGGGGAACAGTCTTTTGTTTAGAAGGGATCCCTGGATGGGGGGACGGGGGGTGGGGGGGGGGAGGGATGATCCTTTCAAAGACAACACCCTCCTTCCCAGGTACCTCTGGTCACCTTTCTATGTAATCTAGTGATGGTCCGGGCCAACCCAACAAATTAAGAGTAGGATCAATTTTTCCCATACTCAGAACAAGAACAGGGAGTAATGCAGACAGGTTGGCCCAGGAGGACTTTTCTTTCATAAAGTGGGCACTTGGGCAGAGACCTGGAAGAAGTAAGGAAGTAGGTCTTATGAATTTTGAAGGAATGTTCCAAGCAAGTGGAAAGGCCCAGAGGGGTGGGACTGTCATATTCCAGGGACATTTTGAAGGAAGTGTGGCTTGAGCAACATGCATGAGGAGCAGGGGTTGGGTAAGATTCGAAGGTGATAGGGTGGTAGGTGCACACCATGTGGTCTGGCAGGCCATGGTGAGAACGGAGTTTTACTGAGAGAGAGGGGGATCCACGGGGGAGTCTGGCGAAGAGGAGCAGCCTGATTTGATTTATTATTCTGACTGCTTGAGACAATACATTGAATAGATTGTAGGTTCCTCCAGGGAGACCATTAGAATGCCACTGCAATAATCCAGGCAAGGGGTAACGGGGTAGAGCAGTAGGCAGCAGTGGAGATGTTGAGAAAGTCAGGTGCTGGGTATATGTGAAGGCAGAGCTAAGAGGATTTCCTGAATGATAGATGTGGATGTCAGAGAAAGGAGTCTAGGATGACTGCAAGATTTGGGGCCTAAACAACTAACTGTGCATGAATTTTGCACTGGAAATGATGGGGTAAAGGGAAGGTTTTAATGTGCTACAACAGTTACAGTGAATACACTGGAGGTGTCCATATCAATTCGGGGTGCATCAAAACAATGTTAGAGAGCTGAAACTGATTTGGCTCTGGATAGAGCGTCAGCCTGTGGACTGAAAGGTCCCAGGTTTGATTCCAGTCAAGGGCATGTACCTTGGTTATGGGCACATTCCCAATAGGGGGTGTGCAAGAGGCAATTGATCAATGATTCTCTCTCATTGATGTTTCTAACTCTATTCTTCCCTGTAAAAAATCAATAAAGTATATTTAAAAAAATGTTAGGGAAAAGAATAAGCTTAGAAATGGTACACTCAGGATACAATTCGAAGTTTTAAGGCACACACAACAGTATTGTTTAGAGCTCCATGCATATGTGGTA